ACGAACGTCTTATGCAGTGCGATCGGCCCCCTCAGCGCCAACGTACCTGGCTTCACGGTTCGGCTCGCCCATTCCTTCCAGGATGGCGACGACCGTCTTATGCGGTACGATCGGCCCCTCAGCGCCATCGTACCGAGCTCACGTTCAGTTCGTCCATCCCTTCCAGGGTGGCGACGAACGTCTTATGCATCACGATCGGCTTCTCAGCGCCATCGTGTCTCTTTCACGTTCGGATCGCCCATCCCTTCCAGGGTGGCGACGAACGTCTTATGCATCACGATCGGCTTCTCAGCGCCATCGTGTCTCTTTCACGTTCGGATCGCCCATCCCTTTCAGGACGGCGACGAACGTCTCTTATGCAGCACGATCAGCGCCCCAGCGCCATCGTGTCTGGCTCACGTTAGGGTCACCCATCCCTTTCAGGATGACGACGAACGTCTCTTATGCAGCACGATCAGCGCCCCAGCGCCATCGTGTCTGGCTCACGTTACGGTCGCCCATCCCTTTCAGGATGACGACGAACGTCTCTTATGCAGCACGATCAGCGCCCCAGCGCCGTCGTGTCTGGCTCACGTTAGGGTCGCCCATCCCTTTCAGGATGGCGACGAACGTCTCTTATGCAGCACAATCAGCGCCCCAGCGCCATCGTGTCTGGCTCACGTTAGGGTCGCCCATCCCTTTCAGGATGGCGACGAACGTCTCTTATGCAGCACGATCAGCGCCCCAGCGCCATCGTGTCTGGCTCACGTTAGGGTCGCCCATCCCTTTCAGGATGGCGACGAACGTCTCTTATGCAGCACGTCTGCCTCTCGGCGCTGACATGCTCGAGTTCTCATTGAGAGCTACCGCTCCTATCACATCTTGCATTCCCTCTCTCATACATTGCACCCATACATTACATGCATTCATGCATCATACCTCATACATTCATACATACACATGTGCATCATGTTTTGACAGTACCGCGACGTCGGTTTATAGATGCATGGACCTCTAAGCTTCTCCGTTGGAAAGCTCGAGTCAGAGTCCTTTACTCTCGCCTGATGCATTCAGGGGGAGCGTGCCCGTGGAGGAGCACCCTTCGCCCGACCCCGTCGGGAACGGGGGTGCCTCACCGGCAGCTTACGTTCAGGAGTGTGGACATCCACTCATGTATTATGATTATTCGAAGACACAGGTTCCAGCTTGACCGAGGTAAAGCGCAGGCAAGAGTATATTTTCTCGAGCAGATTCGCACGCTCACTACTCAAGAAACTGGGGGACTTGTGTTGGGATATATTATCCCGGCCTATTACTGTTCAGGAGCCCAAGACTTTACGTAGTACAGAGCCCAATCAGTAAGGCCCATTTTAGCCTATCAGGCCTGTTTCGGCCTTTGGGCCCATTTTGGCCCATTCGGCCCGTTAGGGTGGAGAGCCCCCTTTCCCCCTATTCCCTATAAATAGGAGGTTTCCCTCCATGGAAAAGGATCCTCTTTTAGCTCCATCTTCCTTTCTTCTTTTAGACTAGCTCAATACTCCATTAATGGGAGCCCAAATTGTACTATGTAATGGTGAGGAGAGTCCTAATGAGAAAGAGAGGGCTTGGACATTAGCCTAAAAAGTCCCGTGGTTTTCTCCCTTTCGGGTTTCCACGTAAAAACTGAGTGTTCATACATATATTTACTATATCGTGTTGGATTAAACTCAACACAAACAATACGAAAATTGTTTGTAACAATCATTACTACTATATACGTAGTATATAATAACGATCCAATATAAATAACCATAATAGCAATTACGAATATATGATAATGATCATATAATCATATAATCCTTCCGTCCCGCTAAAATTGTCTCATTTTTCTTTTTCGTTATTATTTCAATAAGACCGTCTAAATGCTAAATTTGATAAAATTTGTGTGATTCTATACTATTTTTATTTTATCAATTCAATATTAACTATGTAAACTAACTTTTTTAATACCCGTGTGGCCGTGCATCCCTTCATGTCAGTGGGAGGGGGTAGTAGTAATTGTAATTATGCATTTATACAATAACAGCAAATATTGTAGTGCTTATATAGTTATATTACTCATATATCGCAATAATGATTATATAATAGGAGCAACAATTTGTTCTAAAAAAGCGACAGATTTTTGGTCAATTATTTAGACTAAATACGTAGTATATATAAGCTAAGACTCTATTATAATTTATGAAAGATCCACTCTTAAAAGTATTTGTTGGAGCCTAAGGATGTTTTCTTTTGGACTGAAATTTGCTGGTCTGGTCTGTTTAAGTCTGGTCTGGTCTGGTCTGGTCTGTTTAAGTCTAGTCTGGTCTGGTCTGGTCTGAGCTGGTCTGGTAAACGTCTGGTCTTTGTGTATTTTATAACTACGGAAGTCTGGTCTGGTCGGTTTAAGTCTGGTCTGGTCTGGGACTGAAAAAAGTCCAAAAGAAAACATCCTAATTATTGACAAATGCTATTTGGTCTTGGTAAGTAGGTAACATTTGTCCGGCCTGGGGTTTTACTTCATCCCTTCCAACACATTATATACTGCAGACATCCTATTCTAAAAGCAACGTGTAAGCTAGCTGCGCTTCCTAACTTCAATAGGTAAAAAATTAAAGTTAAAGTTAAAAATTAAAGTTAAAAATTAACATTTTTAACACCTTTACTATGAGGTGGCAAGAAATTAAAGTTAAAAATTAACATTTTGTAGCCCAACACAAACTCACACGCCTTTGGCCACGCATATTAACATGCGGGGCGGATTGCTCTCGCCTGGCGCTTAAGCGAGCCTAGGCGGCGCCTTTTCAGGTGTTTTAGAACACTGTATAGGAGGCTTTGTCCGGCCGTCGCGATTTGAGGCGGTTCTTCAAGAATTAATTTGAATGCGTTCCTGATTGAAGTTTTAGCTGAAATTTGGTATGAGTAAACTAGACTTGATGAATAGGATGTCAAAAAATTTTATCAAAAAATTCCACCGGGAACCTCCCGAAATCGTGACGGCCAGACAGAGCCTCCTATATAAGGACTTATTTAACCTTTTTATGAAAGTTCGAAAACCTATTTGACAGTTTTCCCATGTTCTTATCGCTCAGAGCCTCAGAGTCTAAAAAAGTTACTCTTATACTCCCTCCGTCCCAAATTGATGGTCATATACTTTTTGGACTCAAATATTAAGAAAGAGTGTAGAAAGACACATATAATCTTACTTTATTGTATTGTTGAGCCCTTTACTTTTGTTGTTTATTAAAAATGAGAGGTATAAAAGGTAATCTATTTTTATTTCTTTACCAAAAAAGGAAACATGATTATCATTTTGGGACATCCCAAATAGGAAATACAGAACCATCATTTTGGGACAGATGTAGCAATTTATAAGAAAGATAGAATGGGTTATACATAACATTTTGAAATGAATCTTGATCACATGATTTCATTGCCTACAAATATGACTCCCTCAATACCTAATTGTCTACATATTTTCTTTTTTGCACTGCCCAAAACTATTACCCATTTTCTTGTAAAAAAAATTAATACTACGTAGTTCACAACTTTAATTGAATCCTATTAAAAGTGTTTGATTTGTTTTACAGTCTACCTCAATAACAACCTGGTTCATGAATATATTCATGCTATACTTTAGCTAGAAATAGTTAACAACTTGTCTGCTTTAATTAATAAAAATCCAAGTGCAAATATGATGATAGAGTTATCAGGGAGGAGAGCTTCTTGAACTCAATGAATGAAAAATATGGGATGGTGCTCTTCCATTCGTTTCTTCTACTGCCCCCTGCCCAGTCTATGTAATATATATAAGAAATATTTAGAAGAAAACCACGTTCGTTGTATGCATGTATGTTAAAATACTATAGGACCTACTAAAATTCAGTTATTGTAAACTCCCATTCTGGACAGGAGAATGCGTTTTTGACATTTTACTGTATATATGTAATATGTTGTAAAACACTTTTGAACTACTCTTACAAAATGACCGAAATTCCATTATATTATATTTTTAACTAAATGTATGGTTTGAAAATTACACATATATGCTTAGCAGTTTCATTGGTCGTGTAATTCCCTTGTACCAAGAACATTTTTATGGTGTAGAGATGTCTCTGTTTGAATATATTATTAAACTTTTGTTAACTGGTATTCCTTCATGTCTGGAATGAACATAGGTGCCTTGTATTAGAAAATGAAATAAACACCATTTAAATAAGAGATGCATATTGATTTAACACACAAGGATCTCCACAAATGCTCCAAATGCAAGTGTTAATTAGCTGCCCAAGCATAACAGTCCAAGTGGTCCTGATCTGGTTCATCTCAGAGAAGACAGTACTCTCATACTTGTGAAGAAGACTGGGGGGGTCTCAAACTGCTCCTCACAACAGAGAAGATTTCAACTGTATTTATAATAGGGCATGTACAATATATCTTGGGCTATTATTATTTCCTTCTTGAAGCTCATATGCCAATTGTATTTCTCAAAATTATTATGTCATTGGTAGCTCAAGTGAGAGTGTAATATATCGTGGCTCGGTGTTCAAGGTTGTATTTACTATTTATTCTTCATTTGGAACTATTCTTTTCTGTTGTCTGTATTATTGAGAACACAAGGATTAATCTGATCAAACCAAGCCGGCTTGGTTTCTGTTTTTTGTTGCAAGCTAAAACGTCCTATGTGGTGCAGCTCTGCACGGCCATATTGTGCACCGTTAGTGTAGGGAATTTCTTCATCACTATCACCACCACAACCATCATCATTATTATAGATAAATATGTAACTATCCAACAGAAACAATGACCAAATGGCAAACAAGCTCAGCTGAACAGCAGACAAGATCTTCTCTTCTAGACTTTACTAGCACAAGGCTCTCTCCTGTTTATATCACTAATTCAAAACTCTTCAGTTACAAATCAGTTAACCTTAAGGCTAACAAAAGAATTACTCTCACCTTTACTTTATTTCCAAACAAGACTACCCAACGTGTAGTTGTGGTAAACAATCAAAGAAGTAAATAAATAAATAAATAAATAAATAAATAAGTGATTACATGTACACTGTTTCCATTGAAGATCATACTCACACAATACATGCTGCAAGCTTGCAACCAACAAATCTCTAGTCCTCAAATGGTACAAAGCTACAAAATGTAGTTGCATTTTCTTTTTGCAGCCCTTAAAAACAAACCTTGTGAATGTGGAATCAACTAGCCCATACTATGCTGTACAAACATTTGCTTGAATTGTATACTTACCAGTTACAACATATAAACATTTCAGGCACCACAAGTTAACTACCAAAGTCAACCAAAGTTTTTTTCCGCCCATATAAAAATGGTGCTATTACTGAGAGCAGTGAGATGAGTAACGCAATGCATATGTATCTTCTGCTCTGACCACGCTTTGCCTCTATGGCAACAACAGTTTTCTCCTCGACAACTGAATATTCCTCATGATGATAATTGGTGGAAGAAGATGACACCCCATTCCCAGTTTCATTGTAAGAGGACTTCTCATGTAGATCTTGCACCTTGTTTGAGTTAAACTGGTGAAGTAAACTAAGAATAAGCCACTGTATCTTTGCCAAAAATAAATACTATTTAATGAAGCAAACAAATACTACTACGTATAAGTATATTTAATTGGCACCGTCACTATTTTAAATTCCAGCCAAAATCATCTGACTTATAGTAGCCTGTGTTCCACATACATTTCTTTAAGTTTATTTGTAATTAATTAATTTACTCACATTTAGTGTTAAACTCAGACTAGACCAGCTGGTCCAATTTATTCATATCCAACATGCAGTTAACCCAGTCATCACAACTAACCAGATCTGCACTTGACTTGTAATGGCCTCATCAACTCAGTAGATTAATTACTTACACAAATTTGTGGAATGATTAGGCTAATCATTACAAAATGGGATAACATTGGCCACAATTTTAAATATAATTATGGTACTTATTTGCTTCATAACCTTTATATAATAATTGGAGTGCCAAGATGTATTAATACAAACCGTTATGGTACCATTTATCCATTTCACCTCGTAGAAGAACATACCTCACTGATTCTCAAAGAGGACTCAATTGGCACTTTCAATGGAGCATCTCCAGGAAATTGGTGTGTAGAAGGTGGATGCTCTTTGTTATCAGCTTCTCTGCTCCCTAGAATGGTAGCAGATGCAGGGACATTGACCATCTCTAGCTTCTTCATCAACGATCTGTTTTCCTTTATCAAACAGCACAACTGCAAATGTTTATCAATATAGTCAGCTTCTAAAGTTTGTTTGAAACTCAAATAAAGTATCCCACAGATATACCAATCCTAATTTTTGTTTTGCTCATCTTTTAGGATACTTGGATCAAATTACTCATCTAAGCTTATATTCTTTTGACACTTGGTACTTCAGTTATATCATAAAGGCTCAACTTGATATGAAAAATATATTAATTTCTTACATGTTAGTTTTTGTTCTTATATCTATTTGAATTATTATGAATTAAATTATTGAGAATAGTTAAAATAACTTTTGCAGTGAAAGGAATTCATCCAAAAGCTTGGGAATCCCTCAAAACACGTGGCCTATTGCAGACACGTACCAGCCCAATTCAAGAAATTGAAATCCTAAGGAATTTCTTAATTCTCGAGCTCTCATAATCCAAACTGTTGAATAATTTGTCTTACATGGACCAAATTTAGAATCATCAACGAACTTAAAAGATATTGGGTTACTCCTATTACCACATTGATACTTTGGAATTGAACTCCTTCCTGACACAAAAACCGGGTAAAAGAAGTTCCTGGGAACTGGAAACGAAACTGAAGGAGGCATACATGTTCATTAAAGGAAGTGATAAGCATGAAAAGAACCTGTTTTTGCACCCGTTCTCGTTCTACAGTTAGTTGTGTTACCAAATCCATTATAAAGCTTGTCTTAATGTTAATGTCTTTCACGCTCGCCATTTTCTCAACCTTAGCTTGATTCAAAGATGACTCCATATCTTGCAATCTGACCCTCAGGATACCTATTTCTTTGTTGAGCTCTGAATTAAGTTCTGACAATGCAATGCATTGCTCCTCTGCAATGTCTGTCTTGTTTTCTGCTTTAGAAACTTTTTGTTTCAACTCATCAATCAGCGTTTCCATATCCCAAATGGCAGAATATAACAAGTTTTGCTGCTCTTGACTTGCTTCAGAAGATGCTTTAGAATTCTGAAGTTGAATGTCAAGCTCCCTCATCTCTGTTTCAAGTATGCTCACTCTTTTTACACTATTATCATTGCTGTCTTTGAGGAAACTCAGTTCTTCACTTTGCTCCAAGTTTGTCTCTGTTAACTGCGAGACTTTTGCCTCAGCAGTTTCAGCCCTACTCTCCAATTGATAGAGTTCTTCCTTTAGAGATTCTATTTCAATCTCCATTTCATTAATCTGCTCAATATGCACTTCAATTGACGAATTTGCCCTTGTTAGTTGAGATTCACATGTCATCAAGTTTTGCTTTAGCTTTTCAATATTCTGTTGTAAGGACACTACTTGAGCGTTTTCATCTTTAAGGTATGCAATGCTTTCGTTGAGCTTTTGAATGGTGATATCTTTAGCATTTGAGTGTTCCATGCAAGTTAGAAATTTCAATTGAATCTCATTTTCTCTTTGATGGGAACCGCTTAGATTGAGATTCGCTATCCGAAGTTGACCTGCCATATCTTTTGAGATGCCCATGAGCACCTCCCCTATATTGTCTGCCTCCAAAAACCTTCCCCAGATTACCTCTGCCGCTTCTTCCATGCATGAAGCTATGTGTTCTCTTAACTTGAGCTTCATCTTAAAATCGTCTTCGTTTTGTTTCATCAACGTCATCTTCATCTCGAGATCTAGCTCTCTTGCAAAAGACTTCCCCAACATTTTTAGAAGACGCTTTTGCTCTGCTATCTGCACTTGTGGCTTTGAAGCCAAGTCATGTCTCCCTGTCATCCTTTAAACATGTTAGTTTTTTTGTTAACGGAAAGTCGTACTTTCAGTCAGTCCCCTAATTGTTTGATATTATGCACTCTCAAACCAGTTTTTTGTAAATTGTTGAATTCCCACACCGGATATTTGTGAAGGAATTAAGTGCTATATTAAGATCCAGGTTACTCTTCCTATCAGATTGACCTTTTAAGATGGAACCCTAGGTCTTAACATAAATGTAGGGCCCGTTTGACATTGTATTACGTTTTTGAAAGGAATATGATGGATGTTGTAAAATAAGATAATAAATAATCATATTTATAGTAAATTTGTTGCCTTAGAAATCTACCAACAAAAACCTGAAAAAATTAGAAAACATAAAACGATATGGAGCGAGGCCATAGTCTCTAAATTTGGTGCAATACGCTAAACAAACTTGCAGGGAATATCTGCATAAAACTTAACACTAAATAAATGGTGACCTTAAGAATCAACTCATTACTTACAGTCATCTTGATCAAATAAAGAGCCAATCAGCGACGGATTGGCTAGCTGAATCTTCATACTTAGAATACGTTCTTTCAGTTGGCCCAACGATTCTTCGGAATCTTGCAATTTGTGTTCCACCATTGTATCCAGTTCACTCAATGTCTCACAGGAAGAGACCTTTTCGCGCGCACCAAGAATCAGATCGTGGAGATTACTCACAAAATCATCCAACAGTCTAAACTCCGCCTTGAGAATAGCACTTAAGTGGTGTAATGTCAAAGCTTTCTCAACGGCATCCGGAGAATCGTCATTTTCAACTGCCATTGCTTCAACTTCATCTTGTTTGGTCATCACAGTCACAAAGAGGCTGCCTAGATTCACCAGTTTCTCAGAAGAATATGCCATGTCCATTTCCACTTGACTTATGATCTCCATTGAGCTTCTTACCTCGCCCATGTCTTTAGTCGGGCTTCAATTCAGGCAACTTCTTCCAGTTAGATCTCAATATGATTGGTTATCAAAAAGACATTACAGTCAAAGGTGCAACATGTTAATTCTAGAACACTCAACTACAAATCATATCATTGAGAACTTCCAAACCTCTAGCCTTGTCTCTTGAGATCCATATCCTGGTTTTGAGTCTAACTTCTACTGATTACTCGTTTGAGCTTAGTTATACCTTGTTATTAAACTGTGTGGGATAACTTAGTATAGGAGGTGAACATCATCACCTTATTGTTGGTTTTAAGATGGAGACTCATTACTCATACTTTGACCTTAAAATTAACCCTCTTTAAAATTGACAATTTGATTGATGGTCAATAATCTTGTTTTTCATAGGTTTTCTGAATTCCAAGATTAAACCAGTAACCCACATATCTCAAAACATATTCCATAATTTTTTGGTTCATAGCAATCAGTAAAATGTAAAGCGAACCATGAATGACCTCAAATTTCCTATTGATTCTGCTTAAGAAACCCGGAGTGTGCTATGAATCAGAACAGTAAATTATTACCATAACAACCAACAGGCAACAGGCAACAGGCTCTTTCCGTGGATTTCTTAGAGAAAGTCTTTATGAAACTTAAAACAGCTTCAGAATTGTTCATATTATCATCAAGTAAAGAAACAGTTAAAATATTGGAGAAAATCTGGAATGAGAATCCAATGAACTAAGCTCAGAAGTGAAAATCTAGTACAGCACATACTTATAATTGGTCCAGAATCAAGACCCAACAACCAAATAAAGAGTAAAATCTGGTGAAGAAAAAGAAAACAGAAATTATAAATTTAGAACAAATACCTCTGAGGGAAATGGGTAAACTTTATGGGCATTTTTGAAATCCGAATTTAAAGATGAATCATAACGAACCATTCAATGTAAGGATCCACCATCCACTTGCTCATTGCCACTCATTTGATATGGAAAGAATGCAGCTGTGTACCTGAAAAGGTAAGAGTGGGTGACTGAAGTCTTCTGGTGGGGTCATGCATATTGGCATCCAATAATATTGGACCACGTCGCCCGAGGAGGGACCCTTGTCGGTAGTCCATTTCTTAATTACAGCACATCTTTGTCATTAAATAATCAATAGAAATTGTCTTAAATAGGAGTAAAAACGTTTTAAAATTCCAAAATAGGAGTATCATGTTTTTTATTCGCTGAATATGAGTAATCTGCCAAGTTTGAGAAAAAATGTCATGTTTAAAGCCTTGTAATGCCAAACTTGGCAGAAATTTACTCCTATTTAGGGAATAAAAAACATGATACTCCTATTTTGGAATTTCAAAACGTTTTTACTCCTATTTAGAGAATTCTTTCTTAAATCAAACATTTCAATCGAAAAACAAGAAAAGCGGCTCCCAAAAGTCCCAATTTGTATTTCCTACGGACTAGGAGTATCTATTCTAATCTAAAAGGAAAATAAAAGAGAGCCACAGTTCCCGCTCAAAAAGGTCGCTATCATTCTTTGTGGTTAATTACTCATTAAGGGTGAGGTTGGTTAGGTTTGAAAATGAAGGTTTCAGCATGGTTATCCAGATTCGTTGGATTTGCTACAGATTTCAAAACTATATAAATTTTGAATATTAATTTTAATTTGTCTCACAGTGGAGTATGAGCTGGCGATGTGTGGGATGTGTGGTTATAGGGAGTTGGGTCACTGTTTGGATATCTTACAGATCTTCTGATGGCCCAAAAATGATTTTTCTTTGGTCAATTTGGGGTAATGAGCTGGCACAAATCTCTTTTGGATTTCTCACGCAGTTGTTTACATTTTTATTGGCACAAGTGGAAGACTTTGGGCGGGCTGCTTCAATTGCAATTTTGAAATTCAAATTAAGTCAAACAGTGTTCCCCCCATTCCATTTACAATTTTTCAGGCTGATAAACTGGGGACTCCAGCTATAAATACAGCAACAATTTTTCTCATTTCTCCACATCTCTTAGCAAACAATATAAACAATACATACAAGAATTCATTCTTAAAGATGGTTGGAATGTGGTCCCTGTTTCGTGAGATTGATCAGACGAAAACCACATGGGCAGTCAAGGCTAGGGCAATAAGGGTGTATCGTGAACCTGCTCATGATTGTTTTCCAGAATCCTTGGAGGTTGTGTTCCATGATGAAGAGGTTTGGAATTCTGAAAATCATTATAATGTTTCTTTGCTTTACCATTTTAATAAAATCTGTATTGACATTTTCATATATTTCAGGGGTATAGGATGCATGCTCATATTCCGGACCAGTTCGTTAGCAAGTTCATTGGTATCTTCAAGGAGGGACGTTTGTTTGCAGTGAAAAACTTTATGGTGGAAGAGAACTACATGTTCTTTAAAACCTCAACAAGTGCCTATAGGCTTCGTTTTTTTAACAAAAGTGCTGCCTTTGAGATCAAGGGGGTTCCATTCCCCATAAGAACTTACTCACTGGTGTCTTTTGCTTCATTGCAAGCCCAGGACACCATTGATGAGAAATATGGAATCGGTAATTACCAATTTATGATATGTGATAACCCTAATATATAAAACATTACATGCTTAAGTAAAATGCACTAATGTACTCCTATGCTCTAGACATAATGGGTCAGGTAGTGCATGATAAAGACCCGAAAACCATTTTGAAGAATGATAGGCCCCGAAAATTAATGGAGATGGTTTTGGGAGACCCAGAGTGAGTTTTCCATTTGTTCACTTCTATCTTTAAAAAATTATACTTGGTGTACTTTACAATTGAAATAATCTAAACACTTTGGGTAGAGGAGATGTGATTGCATGTACTCTTTGGGGACCGATGGTTGAGATGCTCATGACATACAAACAGACAACTTCGGATCCAATTGTGATGCTGCTGCAGTGTTGCAGAGCAAAGAAATACCAAGGTTGTCTTAACATCTATACAACTTTTGCTTATTGTATCACTGTATGCTCTATAATCTAACATAGATGTTATCTAGGTCATGTTCATGTGTCAAACATGTTCAACACCACCAAGGTCATTTTAAATGGAAGTGATGATGAATTTGTGGAGTTCAAGTCAAGGTAGAAACTATAATCTATAATCGTGATTCGTGACCAAGAAAAAACACATCTATCTCTAACATTTGCTATAAAAAAAATATAAAATCAGGATGGCTGAAAGGTCCAGTAATGGACTTAGGTTTTCAATTACTACGGACAACTCAGACGATGGTGACATAGCAACTGGCCAGCAAGATTTGATTACTATTGATGACCTGTTGAAGCTTGAGGAGGCAAGTGTATTGTAACTATAATTTGAAAGCAGTTATAGATAATATTTGACTCGACTTTTTTGGTTGATAAACAGGAAGGGAAGCATTGGGTTTACGGAGAGATAGTGGGTATTGACAACTACAAAGATTGGTCCTACATTTCATGCATCAGTTGTAACAGGAAGGTTTCCACTAACGGGGATGGCTTTTGGTGTTCCTCTTGCAATGCAAATGACGCTGTTCTTCGGTTAGTCATCTCACTCACAATTTTTTCAAGACTTATCCTGATTATTGCTAAAGACAAAAACTTTAACGAAATCAGGTTTAAGGTGAATGTGAGGGTAGTTGATTGCACAACACATGCCTCCTTTTTGCTGTGGGATAGGGAGGTCTCATGCTTACTGGGAAAGTCGGCCACCTCCCTTAAGGAACAAATAGCTAGGGTATGTGTTGGTACTATGTTCTATTTTCCTTAGTCTAATATGGGAGACTAACCTATAAATGTTTGCAGAGGAACTTCGGGCCGCATTACTTCCCTTCTGAGATAACCTCTCTCATTGATGTAAAGGCTTTGTTTAAGGTGCATTTTAAAAGAGAGGGAAGGGGTTTCAAAGGAAATCAGACTTTTAGTGTTATAAAAATGAACACCGACCCTAAAGTGCTGGCACTTTACTCTTCAAAGATTAATGCTGTTGAGGTATACATTTTAATTTTTGTAACTCTGGGTATAAAGACACTATCCCCTTCATCTTTTACGGTCTATTCTTGCAGGAGGAAGATGAGTTCACTCGATTGGCTAATGAGTTTTCAGTTCCTCGAAATGGGGTAAATAGTCTAAATATTTAGTTGTATCAAAGCGGCTTATCTCGAAGTTATGTACTCAGGTTTTTTTTGTAAATTTCAGGTTCAGTCATCACAGCAATCTGTGTCCAGCCCGCTGCTGTCCAAGGAGAAAAGGAGTGATTTGAAAGTGAATACTGAGAAACTGAAACGTGACCTATTTGGAGACTCCTCTACTTCAACATCTGGGAAAAAGCTCAAGGGGGTGAAAAAGGAATAAAGATAGTGCCTAGCCCTATGTTGTGTGTGATTAAGTTATGTGTGACTATTATGTGTTACTGTGTAATGTGTGACTTTGTTAGATTTCCGGCTATGTACAATAAAGGCAACTTTGGCCACCTATTTTCTGCCCCTTCAGGGCCTGGTGTTGGCAAATGTTGGCCTCTTATCAATGGTTTTAGTCTAATAACTCAGGCATAACAATATGCTAATCATATGTACTGCTGATGCATCTATATAAGATATTATGTTTAGATATACCCATGGACTGTTATGCGCTGGACTTCTATGGGAAATTCTTGTGGTTAGAGCCTGCTAGGGTGTGTGGCACGTGAGATTAAAAATACTCAAAGTAATACATGGTATAACTGCTAGACCCCAATAATATACATTTGATTGGAAGACAATATTTTCAGTTGAAGTATCCTGTTCTTTGGTAAAGTTGAGAATTGTGGCGTGATTCTCTATTTAACTTAAACTGCCGGATATGATTGTATATTTAATTTACATAATGGCACTTATTTGTGTTAAAAAATCCACGTGAAGAATAAGACTAAGGATGTTGATGACAAAAATTTGGAATTTTTTAAATAAGACACCAGAAATGAGCAATATTTCCAATGTTATTTGATGGTTTTTAACACAAAAGCCCACAGAATGAAAATGGTTTGAATAGAGTGTTTGTTAGTGTCTCTATGGAAGGGGAAACAATATTAATAACCTAATATACCATATATGACTAAGGTTAATGGCCAATTTTTTAAAACACATATGTGAGGAATAGGAGTAAGGTTTTTCTTGAAAACTTTTTTTACACACATGTTACAGACACAATTTCCCCAAGTCAGTCTTCTGGGAATAAAATTTTAGAGAAAGAGTGTTTGAAAAACTGGGTTTGTGGGTAGTGTGTAATGCAGTGCAAATAATGACAATGTTCTATAACGAGATTCAAATGGAGGGTGTGAATGGAGTGGCGTACCTGTTGCCGTTTTTCGGAGTCAGGTGTCCTGCCCTAAATCTATTCTATGTCTACTTATTAGATTTACAGACCAATGATAAAATAGGGGAAAAAAAATCCTGCACAGACAGATTTCACTAGCAACGAGCCTATTTCTGGGTGATCCCGAGGCAGTTCCGCGCAGTCCCCTGTTTGAATCATCACCAGAAATCATCAACAAGGAGAATTATTCTGAGTGTGTGGTTCAACTGCCAAGTAATGAAAAGAATTTAAAGTGAATGTTTGTGTTTTAAATTTTGTATTACAAGTTATACAAGTTAAAAATGTCCAAGAAAATCCTTATTTATCACCCAACCTAGCAGATAGTGCCCCCCTGATTTGCTGCCATATCCAAGGCAGGTAGTTCCACCAGGGCAGTGATTTTAATTCCATTGGCTTTAAAATACAAAACCAAGTTGGCAATAATATTCACTGTCTAAGAGACCTTCCACTACAAATTAAAACCTATTACCACATATTTTTTGTTAAAAAATCCATGTGAAGAATCAGACTAAGGATTTTTGTTAACTTTATCAACTGCCAGATATGATGGTATATTTACTTTACATAATGGCACTTATTTTTGTTAAAAAATCCATGTGAAGAATAAGACTAAGGATGTTGATGACAAAAATTTGGAATTTTTAAAGTCAAACACCAGAAATGAGCAATAATTCAAATGTCATTTGATAGTTTTTAACACAAAAGCCCACATAATGAAAATGGTTTGAATACAGTGTTTGTTGGTGTATCTGTGGAACGGGAAACAATGTTGATAACCTAATATACCATATATGACTAAGGTTAATGGCCAATTTTTAAAACACCTACGTGAGGAATATGACTAAGGTTTTTCTATTCAACTTTTTTTAACGCAAGTTACAGACATGATTTTCCCAAGTCAGTCTTCTGGGAATAAAATTTTTGTTCCCAAGTAATGAAAAGCATTTAAAGTGAATGTTTGTGTTTTAAATTTTGTATTACAAATTATACAAGTTAAAAATGTCCAGGAAAATCCTTATTTATCACCCAACCTAGCAGATAGTGCCCCCCTGATTTGCTGCCATATCCAAGGCAGGTAGTTCCACCAGGGCAGCTCTTTTTATTCCATTGGCTTTAAAATACAAAACCAAGTTGGCAATAATATTCACGGTCTGAGAGACCTTCCACTACAAATTAAAACCTATTACCACATATTTATATACTTAGTATTATTTAATAGATAATTGATAATTAATACTGTCGAATGTGTGCTCATGATACATTTCAATTAGAAACTGATTTTAAAGGTAAATCATATTTATCTTCCAATACATAAAAAATAACCCCCCCCCCCCCCCCCCCCTCATTGCGTGGCGTGGCATATCCTTGGGAGTAAGATTTACCAGGGCAGTTATTTTAACTACTTTATCTTTAATTTTCTATAAGAGGTTGATGACTCAGTTTAGCAAAATAAAATCTATCGAAGTTTGGGAGCCACCTCAAATGACACGTGTAACACAAATCTAAAACTGATTTGAAAACAAATAGATACAAGTACCAACACCGGTTAGAACAATAAACGTGTGTATTAATTTGTCATTTTGAAAAAAACTGCTTATAATATTTTTGTCAATTTTGCGTACACTTTTGATAATTTGTACTCCGTATTTGATAAACTACTATGTAAAAATATTTGCTTCATCTTATTGTAAAATTTAGGTACACCTTTGATATGGGAAATTCCAATCTCTTGGGGACCGTGCAGTATTTAGATTTCCAATGTGGCTGATAGATATTTTTAAATGACGTTGAAGTTATCAGCTAATAGGGTTAGTATTAAAGTAAACTTAAACTATTGATTGTTTTTTTAAAGTATATTAAAATATTATAACATCTGTAGCCTTTTTGAGCAATCCGTGTCACAAAACAGTAATGTTTTTTTCAAAATTTCATTTTATTCAGTTTTAACCCTCAAATTATTATGACTAGATGTATCATTTATTGGTGTCGGAGAAATTGCAGATGAAACACCTTTGTGTATAACGCACTTCCTCTAGGTTAATTTTTTTTGGCCCAATTCGAGTTTAACCTTTTTGTACACCGCGTGAAGGTTTTATCCAAAAAAAAATTAATTCAACTTTTCCTGTGAAATGACTTTGATAGAAATGTGGAAGATAAATATATTAACCACTTTGGTGAACGCCTACACGCTTATTTAAAAAATTTAGTAGTATGTATTTGCTTTTAAATTATTAAAATCTTTTTTACCAAGTACAGATGTGGAAGGACATGTTGAGAAAAAAAAAATTGGCGTCCAACAGATTCAGGGTTGGTTTGCAATAATAGAACACAAGCATTTCTCAACTTTTGGATTACAAATCTCTTATCTCACTAAATAACTCCGAAATTATTTTTTTGGCACAAAATCTTTTTCGGTTGTAAGTTTATGGAGGGTAGTTCAATAAAAAAAATTCAGTCACATTTAACATGCTTTCCTGTCGAAAGAGGAATTTGATTTTTAAATTGTGTGGTTAATTTTTATTTATGGCCAGAAGATATTTTGAAGACAGTGGGTACAAGATTTGTTCAGTTAGAATTGTGGACATATTTCGTCCTCATCACACTAAATCTTTCAAATCTTATTTTAGGTCTGGGTTATCAGTCTCAGAGTGTGTTGTTGGTGTGTGATTGGTTCTCATTGAGTTAGTGGGTTTCATTAATAATTTTCACTGTTTATTGGATAGATATTTGGTTTTCACCCCATGATAGCCATTCCATTTACCATTCCATTTATAAGTAACTATTATAGTAAAAGCTTCACCATTGAAATACAGTCTTCTCTGCACTTGAGTGTGCTGCCTTTCTTCTTCGTTTGGTTCTTCCTCATCAGATAATTCAGTCCTGCATCAAAGTTGTGGAAACACAGGTTACAACCCACAGATCAACTCAATATTTCCAAAATTATTATATGCAGTTCCAAAGATTATTATGTATTTAAAAGTAAAATCCCAAGTCCTATATTTCGTAAATTGTTATATATTTTTCTCATAAATCAATTTACTGAAAAATTAATTTGTCTTTAGCAAGGAGAAAAGTACAGTGTATTTTAGGAGTAAAGATTTTATTTGTGAAGCCACTTCAAGATTTTTATGATGTTTCTAAACTTTCAAGTCACGTTGTGACTTTGGAATTTTTTGAGTCTTTTAGGTGGATTTGCTCAGTCCACTGCCATGTTCAAGGATTGTGAAATCTGTGGTCAGATTCGACTGTGTTGCAACATGTACGCGATTGGGGAGTCATGTAAAATCTGGTGGTGTGAAGTTTGTGATAACTTCTATGCTCTTGAGTTTCTGCGTGGAGGTATCCCGTGGGATCAGCTGCCTCCGGCAGTACTTTCACCCTTCTATGGAGCGCATGATCTCCGATGGTATATTGGAGACATGTTGGAAGCCTCTGGGGAGACCAATGGGGAGAGCTCCGGGGAGACTAATGGGGAGAGCTCCGGGGAGACCCCTGGGGAGCCCTCTGGGCTTAATTACACTGTTGAGGGGAACGAGGTTGTTCTGAGGCGTTCTACACGCCCTATCCTACTCAACCGATTCTATTTTGGAGGGGACTTTGTTGTTGACTATGAATTTGGTTGGCTCAGTCGTGTTTAATTATTTATTGTAATGTACTTTTTGGATATTGTGCACCTACGCTCTTATATATCTTAGCTCCTCTGATGTGCACCTATCATGTATTTAGTCCAAATTTAAATAAGGAAAGGCATTTCTGTCATAATGTCTTTTTTGGACAAATATTTTGTACTCTGGGATGTGCACCTATTATCTTAGCTCCTCTAATGTGCACCTATAATGTAATGTAGTATTTTATGATGAATGTTTTGCTTTGAAGTTAATCATAGATCTTGATCTTCTCATACTGACGCTAATATTAGATACAGGTAAGTGATGCCGGTTTGAGGACTTAGATTATGGTTAAGATAACTAAATCATGTGTGTTGGGATCCAAAAGATCCAACAGAGGTAAGTTCTTCCCAGTGTATAACCTTTTTTTATTTAGGTTATTAATTAATGATAGTCACCTTTCAGCTACTGTCATCAACTTTTAAATTTAATTTTTTTTGTGGTGAGAGTGGGTTTCGGTTATGTGTTTGAAGACAACTGTCAGTGGATGATGTGGAGAAAATATCATGCTGTAAAAATATTATTCAGACATAAGGTCTTCGGTTATAATGTTCTTTAGATTATTTGAAAAAAAAATACATCAGAATTTATTTTGGATTGGTTATTTACCTTTCCTTCATGTTTGCTGCCCTGTCCATAATCCTTGCTTTGAATGTCTTCTTGCAGATAATCCATTTCCTCCCATATGTTTGCAATAATTTTTGAGTGTTAATAAAGAATTTGTGGTTTTCATATTCTATACAAACGTGTGAAATAATAGGAATGTGTTTCGTTACCTCCAAACTGTAACATTGACTCTGCTGTGTTATTCTCCTGTAAAGCAACAGATAAATAAATTCGTTTTTCATGTGGTCAGGTGCTAAAGAGAAAATAACAAATTATTTTAAATAATCTTAAACCATTAAGATAAGTACAAGAATACCTTTTGTATCTTTGTGTTGGTGTTTCTTGCTCCATTCAAATGCACTTCCGCTGTGGTGCAGGGATGGGTGTTCAGTGTACACCATTGTTTAGTAGGCTGGGCTTATTAAGTGATAACAAATAATATTAATAAGTGGTAGTTGTTACCTGGTGTCTGTGTGTTCCCTTCCGTGTTCCCAATCTCACAAAGTCATTTTTTACTCCCTAGAAGATTGCGGTAATGTGGATTAGATGGAAAATATGAGGTTAGTATATTTGCAGTATTACGAAAGGTATTTTAAAGGATCGGTTATTGTATAAAGCGTGTGTAGCGACTTTGGAATTTATGTCCCTTTGTATTGGTAAGGATGATCTTCCGAGTGGTGGAGGTTTGGTTATTATTCAAGGGCTGGGTTTATATTCATATATAAGGTTGTGGGTGAGAGCAATGTTTCATTCATGGCGGTGGGTGGGAGTTTGGTTTGTAGTTAATGCTATTGGTTGGGTGGGAGTAATAATTGTCTGTCTATAGTTTTATGATTTTATAATATAGGTTAAATTATGCCCGATGGATTTTATATCTATACATTTAAGTCGTCTGTAAAGCGGTGGGAGGCTCGATGTGTTAAAGTATGAGTAGGTGGGTAGTGGTTGTGTGTTTCGAGAATATTAAATGACGATGGTTGGGAAGTGGTTGGACTTTAAATGACTTGGGTATGTGTTTTTAATTTCAAATATGGAACGTGGGTGGGTCCAAGTCTGAAAAAACGTCATGGGTAATTGTTTTTTAATTTGAAAATAGAACGGGGTGGGTCCATGTCTGAAAAAACGCAGAAGACTCCATTATTTTGTGTGTACTTTCTTACTGTGTCCAGATTCAGGCTATCAATAAATATTTGTTTATATTAATTTTTTGTTACAAAAAATTTTTACACGTAATCTTTAAAACCATCCTAGACATTTCTGGATAATTCCAATGACTTAATTCTGAAAAATATTCTAAAACATCATTCCGCATTAAATTTTTTTTTTGAGAAATTAAATACTCCGGAGTGTGTTGTTGGCAATTGCCGACATAGGGGAGTATATATATTTAAAAAATAAAAACTTATAAGTGTGTTTGGTATTACTGATAACAACATTAAATTTTTAAAATTTAATCACATATAATCCTGATACACAGATGGCGGTTCATTGATAGAAATGATTTTAAAAATGAAATCTGTAAAGGCAACTCTCTGTTTGGTTAAAATTGTTTGCTTAATGTTAGCTAAAATTATCGGGTGTATTCCGGGTTATTTTTTGGACCGTGAAAAAATGATACAGAGACGTTCAGATTTTGCAGATCTCTGTTTTCCATTCTTCATAGTTTTCGGGCAAAATATTTTCCGTTTTTTCCTTTTCAAAATACAATTTCTTTAGTGCAAAATATTTCCGTCTTGGATTATTGTGTATCTCCGTTGAAACTCAATAGGAACAAAAAAAATTTCATTTTTTTGGGGTAAAGATTCATGATAAATTTGTAGAGTTTTTTTTTAAATAAGATCGCCAGATTGTTGATGGATTCGTGATGTGTTGGTGCATGCAGAAGGTGTGGGTTGGGTTTTGTGGTTTTGTGTGTTTTAGAGTTAGTGAGTTTACCTGTGAATCATTTGACGATTGGTGTTGTTCCCTCTCCGTCGGTGAAAGCTCCGGGCTTCCGGCGTTCACGCGGCGTTGCTCTGGATCTGTCCTTCACTTTGAGATGGATATCTGTCCTTCACAACATGGCTCGGCGGTATGCTATGGTGTTTTTTCTCAACCGGCTGTAGTTTTTTTGCTCAACTAAACGCGGATCTCCGTTTTGCTGGTGAGAGGGTTTGCCGATCTGTGAAGTTCGTTAGACAGGGGAGGGAGGGTTAGACGTGTGAGAGTGTCGGCGTAATTTTAGGGTGAAGTGGAAGGTTTGAAAGAATAAAAACCTGTGGTTAGACGTGTTATTGGGCCATATTTCGGCTGAACTTATGTCCAGTACATGATCCAACGTCCGAAATGTTTTGGGCTCATTGTTTGGGCTTTTAATTCTGGTGGGTTGTTTGGGTTTGGCTGGACAAAACTTCCAACGTTTCTTTTTAATTGCAACAGTCAACTTTTTTGGTTTGACAGTGAATATTTTTCCTATTTTATTATTAAAAAATTTAAAAAGTTAATATTTTATAAAATTGTAATTGTAGAAATTTAACAATATTTGCTTGGTGTAAAAAAAAACAATATTCGGCTATTTGGATTCATATTACATTTATCGGTAAAATAAAGTTAAAGTAGAATATGTAAATAGTATGAATAGTCCAATGTTTCAATTGAAAAATTGAAGAGGTAGTTTTTTTTTTTAATATTTCTTATAATTTTCCCTTTGAAGAGTACCCTACACTTTTTCTTCTTTTAATGGGAGATATTATTCTTTTTGTTATATTCAAAACAACTATGTAGTATTTATGGATTTTTTTAAATTAGTTTTTTGGATGCACATAAGTAATCTATGTTCTTTTGATACGTATGTAAAAATAATAATTTCCGATTAATGGTACTAGGCACTTTGGACAGTGAGGTTGTTATGTCCCCGACCAAACAACACTGTTATCGTTCCATGTCTGGAACCTCCCACGTTGCTATTCCTTCCCCGAATTCAGGGTCGCTTCTAAGATTAACTTCTGCATCTCTTGATGTTGGTTGGTCTCTCATCAGCTATTTTTTAATTTATATCCAGTTTCGCATCATATTGTGTTTGGGATTTCATCGATACCGTTTTGTATTAAGTTCATTTGACTTTCATTGTTAGGCTTTTTTTTTCCTCAAACGTCCGTGGAAGATATTCGTGCTTCGAGTTCACAGCAGTCGCCTTTGTGTTCAGCACCCGAAGTTGCTCTTTCTTCCCTAAAATCAGGGCCGCTGCTAAGCTCAACTTCTGCCTATATCCATGACGGTTTGTCTCTCATGAACCGTTATTAATTTTGTATCCAATCTGGCATCACTTCTGTTTGGGTTTTCGTTGATAACGCAAAAAAGTTGAGTTCCTGTGACTTTCGTGGTTAGGCTTTGTTGGTCCAGAAACATCAGTCGAAGATCTTCATGCTTCAAGTTCACACCCATTGCCTCTATCACCTGTTTTGGATTTTGATGTATCGTCTTTCACTGATAGTGATGCGGATGATGAGTATGTTGACTATGATGGACTTCCTGACCAAATAGCCGACAGACAGATTGGTGCGCTTATAGTGTCAACCATCGAATTTGCATGTGTGGTTTTGTGATTTATTTAACATTGTATTTTTTTATTGTTATTTTTGTGCAGAGTATTGGGACATCGGTGACTCAATCTACTCATGTGAGTTCTGTAACGCTTTGTTTTGGTTCGAGGAGCGTGTTCTTTCAAACTCAAAGAAGAATCTTCCTAAATTCTCCCTTTGTTGTAGCCAACACAAGGTTGTGTTGCCTGCTATGAAAGAACCGCCGTTGTTGTTGGCTGGATTGATAGATGGTACTGATGAGCATAGTAGGCATTTCCTCGAAAACATCAGATCTTACAATAGTATGTTTTCCTTTACGTCCATGGGAGGTCGGGTTGAGGGAAATGTCAATAGAGGAAGATCTCCTCCGATATTTAAACTCCACGGCCAGAATTATCACTTAATGGGTAGTTTATTGCCCCCCCCTGGTGCGAAGCCCAAATTTGCACAATTGTATATCTATGACACCGAGAATGAAGTTCAGAATAGAGTTTCATCTGTCAGGTTTGAAGATGTTCAATTCGTTAAGTTTTAATTAGTGTGTTGATATTTAACCCTAATTTCTTTATGATATTTAATCAGCGGCGGTGTTAATACGAGGAAATTGGACGAGGGGTTAGTGATCAGCCTGACCGAGATGCTCAATCAACATAATGTTCTGGTGAAGTCCTTTCGTCTTGCCAAAGAGAAATTTGACACAAACAGTGCCCCAAATGTGAAGCTAAAGCTTATAGGAAAGCGATATGGCGATGCTCGGACATACAATCTGCCGTCAGTGTCGGAGGTGGCAGCTTTGGTTGTCGGAGATTTTGATGAATCCTTGGGTGAAAGGGACATTTTGGTTCAAACTCAGTCTGGCGCGCTCCAGAGGATAAATGAGTTAAACCCGGCCTATTTTGGTCTGCAGTATCTGTTATTGTTTCCCTACGGTGAGGATGGTTATCGTGAGGATATTTTGTTATCTGCGTCCAGTGGGATAGTTGGTGCTGGAAGGAAAATGGTGAGTGTTAGGGAA